GGGCCTTCAGGCCACCCTCATAAGGTCTGTTTCTGGTTGTTTGGTCAGACATTTACATCGGTGACTGGCTGGTGGTCATTTTGTAGCTCTGGCAGTTTCCATCCTGCCAGGAACAAATAGTGGTCCTGCTGATGGGTCCTACTGAAGGACCTTCTCAGCCTTGTCCAGCTCTTTTAGAGTAACTGCCTGACTCCTGGAATCTCCTCTGTGCTCTTGAGACTGCTGTGAGACACAGCAAACCTTCCGCATTAGCACGTATTGATTTGCCATCCTAGAGGAGCTAGACTACCTCTTGCAACCTCTATAGGGTCCAGATATGATCTCATGCTGCCAGTAGTGATGCTGACCCTGGCCAAATGCAAAACAGTCAGAAAAGATGAGGGAAAATGTCAGTGGTCTCTACTTGTAAAACCATTCCTGTTTTGGGGGTAGTCTCATTGTTGCCCCTCTAGTGCACCTGATGTTAATTTTATTAACCCCAAAGAAGCTGAAACTGATGAATAACCCCCTCTGCTACTTAACTGACCACATCAATATCCTGCAAGCTTAACTTGATGCTGTGTTTAAGTTTTCTGAGCAGTGTGCATAGCTTTTTAAGGTTATTTTAAGGTTATTTAGAGGAATTGAATTTGTTTATTAGGTGTTTTTTCCTATTTAAATATTTAAATGAACAATTCACACAACTTTATCAAGTTTAATTTACAGCCAAGAACTTCATAGTTTTGAGCCTAATTCCCAAAATCCCTGTATTCCAGGTGCGTTCTTCTTGTACACGGGCCTGGCCATGCTGGGTCTCATCTTTGTACTGGGCTGCCTCCCAGAGACAAAGGGCCTACAGCTGGAAGAGATCGAGAACCTGTTCGCAGGTCAGCTCTGCTCCTGTGGAGATCCTTCACCCAACGACAATCGTCATGTCCAATACATCCGGGTAAAAGGCAGCAACTACCTCCCCTCTGACAACGACGCCTCAGATGTAGAGTAGACTGGGATGATTTCGCTTTCCACTCTGTCCTTTGGTTTTCCTGGGATGGCTGCTCTTGCGGGGAGGAAAAGGTATTCACGGTTCCCTCTGGTGGGTGTGATCGAATGGGACCAAACGCAGGCTAGAGCTCCCCTGGGGTTGACTTTAACTGGTGCTCTCTTTCATTTAAGCAACTTTTTCAAATTTCTTTTTAGTTCTGCCTTTATCTCACCTGGAAATCGTGTTGCTTTGCATTTCTTACTTTTGAATATCCTCCTTATTTCTCATCGTCATTTATGCACTAATAAAAAGGGAATACTGACTGGTGTCTACGCAGTATTGCTGTGGGCACAGTTAATCTGTGACAGTGTTGCTGGGATCAGAAAATCCTTGTTTTACAAACTGGTCAGACCACAATGAAAATGAGTGAAATATTTCCATTTTCTTGTTGAGAAACCTTTTAGAAACAAGCCTTTTGTTGTTGTTTTAACCGCACAGTTGGTTGCTGACTCATCGTTTACCCTCACATATTTAATTCCATTAAGTTGTGTGATTTCCGTCTGACCATCCATCTTTTTTAAACTACAAAAACGAGATACGGGCAGAAATCTGATTGTGGTGAAATGATAAGGATTTGAGAATTTGAAGATGTGTGAAACTGCTTTCACTGATTTCTGCCATACTTGGACGTTTGCACATCTTTTCGAAATCATTAACATGGGGTTAGTCCTCCAATCAAAGCTGGTGTCAAAAATACTAATCACGTGTTTCTGTTGTCAACTAGAAAGTGGGTGAGTTTGCACTTTAAAGTCTTTTATTTTTTCAATAAATAATAAAATAAAGTGATAAATAAAATATGTTTCCTACGTGCCAGATTGCTATAGCAAGTTGTTGTTTTTTTAGCATGATTTGGAATTCAGCCAAGCAAACTATGGAGCCGTGGAGTCAGACAGTGCCATAGCCTATATAACTGTAAGTAATGCATCGAGGTATTAAAGTGCTACAAACTTTGATGTTATGTTACTGTACAAAGAAAAATGCCTTTTTGATGTTCAAAATGTTCAATTTCATATCTTTGTTGTTGCAGCTGAGATAATGGTGATCAAGAACAACGTCCCACAGAGGGCTTTTGTACAGAATGTCCTTTTTACACTGGGATACTTTGATAAGTACCAGTTTGCTTTATTGGCACTGCTGGCATTTACAAATATTGATTTTTCATTAAATAGTTTTCATGCGGCCTTATTTTTATTTTTTTTTGTACATCAAGCACAGGCTAAGATGTATTTGGAAATTGTACAAAACCTCCACATGGAAACATGAAAGCGCTTGATACCTAAAACTACGTGATCTGTAGTTACAGATCCATTCTGCTTTTGTTTGAAATGAATGGATTTCCCTCTTGTGCTGGGGGAAAAGAATAGACTCATGACACTACCACCTTTATATGAGACAGAGTTTTCCCTCAGGTGAACAGAGCTGATTGTCTTGACAGCTTCGAGGGGAAAGCATTTCAGGTTAAAAGGCCATAAATGAATTTTATGGATAAATGGATCAGCATTTTGTATATGAAAAGTTAACTGTTTGCAAAGTTACAATATATGTGTGTTTTCTTTTCTTTTCACCAATGTCATATTTGATAAATAAACTTGTCAAAAGAGCCTGATCTGTGAAGTCAGTCAGTTTTTGTGTGAAAAGGTCATTTGAGTGTTGCTCAAATGTAATTGAAGATGGTAACATGACATCATTTCTAAGAGTCTAAGATGGCATGAAAAATTGTTGAAGTGCTCACAACACTGAAACAAAGAATAACAGAGCCTTTCCCAAAGATCCTGAGGAAGAACATCTCCCAGAGGCTGTTGGTGTCCTACTGCTGCTCCACAGAGTATTTTAATATATTACTTCTGTGTGTGGTTTTCCTCTTGTACAGTGGCACAAAACAAGGCGCTCCCGAGGGTGGCCCAGAAAACCATGGGATGCCCCCTACCTACTCTAGAGGACCTACATAGTTAAAGCTAATAATATAAAAGATCCTTCTGACTGTCCATGTCCACATGAATGTGCTCTTTGTAATTTGGGAGAGTGGGGAAAGGCAGCTTTGGTCTTTTTATGTGTTTCTTGTACGGTTTTATATAGTTTATAGTTTTTATTACTGTTGTGAGTGATCTTTGAACTGTTCAGAGTCCATTTGACATTAGTGTACATGTTGCATTATGTCATATGGTCCCCTGCTCATCCCAGTGAACTAAACCGGCACCCACAGTCTTAAAGTGTGTGTGCACTCCTGCTTTAAATCTCAGGCCACTTTAATGTTGGCAAAGAAGAATCACATATGATTTTTAACATAATTACAGTGGTTGATTTCTAGCCCATTTTTAGGTGAAATACTTAATGCAAAGTTGGGATAGTGTTTTGGTGTTTTTGGTCACAAGGAGACCCTGATCTTGAAACTGCAGGGAAATGTTGAGTTGATGGAAAAAATCAGTAGTCACTGGGTCATTTCTGTTTTGTGGCAAACCAGGTGATGAACATTCAGGATGTTTTGTATTTAATTGGTTGTGTTAAAAGTCTTCACTTATCCCAGGTAAACTAAAACATTTGGAACAATCCAGATTTTGGTCGGGTAAAGACAATTTTTCGTTATGGCATGAGAAAGGGATAAAAACTAGAACATGTTGTAGATAAGATGGGAAGTTTATTTCAATTAAAGAACTTGTAAATATATAAATATAAAATATGTAATAGAGTAACTATATAATACTTTTACAGGTGTTTGTGGGGTGGGAAGGTGGCATTAAATTCATTAGGATGAGTTTTTGTAAACAATCTGACACTGTAGAAAAAATAAAAATGTATGAAAAAAAAAGACTTGCATATGATCCAAAATCTAACAATGCAGCCACGGGATATCGAATCCTGACCTGGTCTTAAGGTTTGCTGAGTCACAGTTTTGGCTCTGTAGACGTCAGGTTATGTTTATATTAGAGAAGGGGTGCAAATTACACATCAAGTCAGTTATTTCTGTGCAGTCGTAGGATTTGATTTCCATTGTGACCAGATGTGTTCCACTCTTTCTAAGAAACATAAATGCAGTGTTGGCCCCTACAGTTCCTTCGTGTGGCACTGTGATTATCCAATCCACAAGATGGCAGTAAAAAACAACTAAACAGAATAAATAGTCGCGATGAACGTTAGCAGGGAGCAAAAGAAAAACAAAATAAAACAAAAAACAACAAAAAACCCTTTATTTTATATGTGAGCTTAAAAAATAGATTATCTGCCAGTGCAATTTTAGTGACTTTTTTTATTTATTGCTACTGGAAACATGGATTCATACATTTGTTATCTGTAAACGAAATGATTGCTTTTTTTTTTAATGGGATGATTACAGAGTATATTAAATAATAAACAATAGAATATTGCCATTTATTTATTTGGTAATTTAAATGATATTGTAAAATTGCTTAAAACAAACGTTTTGATATGGTATTAAATTGAATTCGAAATATGTACTGATGTCATTTAGGATTTCTTATAGAGACTCGTGTTTGCCCATCTTTTGTAGTCACATGAAAGTCCAACTATCTACCTGCTAAGCTATCGAAACTTTCATTTGTGTAAAAGAAGCTTGTGGTAGTCCAAGGTTACTGCTATCAGAAGGCTGCTGGTAGAGTCTCTGCCGTTGCTGACTTGACTTCATGCCTGAAAGCCAAATGGCTGATGCTGTAAAGCGGTTCATGGTGCTGTGATTTCTCTAAGACGCACAGAAAAAAATGTTTTAAAATTAAATTAATATTGTCCCAACATTTTCTATCATAAAACGACGATAACTGTCTGGAAAATGTACATTTTGGGCTACAGATTCATTCTGGACTGTGTCACGAGCGCTTTTTATTAATGTGGAAATGCAGATTTTGGTACTCCTCCAATATACTGGGGGGAAAAATAATACAGTGATTCTTACTATCGCCTCACTCCCCGGAGAGGGCGTGGCTTGCTGACGCACTGCGGATCCCTCCCAGTGTCTAAACGGAGCGGAGAGAGGAACGGCGAGGCACGGAGGGGCGCGCGCACATGTGCGAGTGTGTTTGAACCAATGAACGCGTACGCGCGCGCCATTGGCTCACCAGCAGCCGGAGTGGCAGTGTGCAGACGGGCTCGAGTCGGAGCATCAGGGCCAAGTTGCGCAGCACGCGGGCACACCACCGCGGCTCTTCCCCGATATCATGGTTTAAACACCGTTAAGATAGGTTGTTGTGGGTTTTATTTATTTTTTTAATGGCGGCGCTGAAGTCGAGGTGATCCGCTCGCCAGCGGGAGTATAGTGCGCACTCCTTTTTTTTTTGTGCCGGGGCTAGTAGCCAACGCAGATAAATCCGCACTATTATTATTTTTTTCTTCTACCTGCTGTTGCATAAGGAATCATGACAACGGGACAGGATGAAAGCTCTGTCCGTGTGGCATTGAGGTAAGGCGCTAAAGACTATTTAAATGTTTCCATTAACTCCCAAATGCGTAGCAACATTAATTGCCCGGTGCCACCTGTCAGTCAGTGCAGCGGGCCTCGCAAACACCTGCAGGTCATCAGCATCATCTTGTGTTCGCCAAACACTCTTTGACCTGGAAAATATTCCGCGTCGTGACGTTGCTGTTACCGGCTTTCAGGACATGTTTGCGGCGCAATTGTTTCTCACCTCAGTTTGAATGAGCAGGTTTTGTGTTGGGGGCTCACAAACATAGAGCATCACGCCCATTGCACAGGTACGCGCACGCGCGCACACATTCACGGGCCATCCTCTGTAGCGTGCATGCTGGGAGGAGTGACGATATCTTTTTGCAGCGGCTCTCTCTATCATAGAAAAGGAAACAGATGGAGAAGGTGGGAGAGAGCCAGTCGGCCTGTCTTCGTCCAACGGTCTGGCGTCTCATCAAAGCCTCCTGCAGAGACAGTGGATCGATGAAAGAAGAGCTTCACTGACAGTCAGGTTCCAAGGAAAAGGGCAGTGGGCCTATAACGCTGTCAAGTCTGCTCTTTGTTTGTAGACATTCAGTGGACAGCTCAGTCACGGCTCTCAGCGATTCAGTACTGTTCCAATCAATTCACCAAACGGACAGGCTGCTTCACCTCTAATTTCATGCACTTGATGTGGGCGGCTGTATTCATGCTGAAGAAGGCCGCTCACACCCAGATGGTGAAGTGGCACTGACAGTGACATAATGGGGAAACCAATCTCTTTCTCTCCCCTCCAGTCTGTCCGTATCCATAGTAATTATAAAAATGACTCATAATGGCAGTATAGTTTCTCATATCTGTTTTTTCTTTTTTTTTGGTATCCTCATATTCAGCTGCTCGCCTGTGTTCCTTGTTCAACCTTAAAGACACACAAGTGCCTCGTCATTATTTGTGATGATTATGTTTGTGCTGAGCTTCCGGATACCATTCCCCAGTATCCCATTTATGAGGGGAATAATTTATTTTATACTGTTGCTACTCCATTTAAAACAGGGATTGAATTGGTCTCAAGTGTTGGTTTCGAACACAGTTTTTATGGTGGGACATTTTCCAACAGAAACTAGTGATTCTGGAGATGTTCTGTTTTGTACCGCCTGTTATTTGTTGCCAAATAACTCCCTGAAAAATTTGCCTTTGCAAAGAAAGACATTTAGTGGTTTTAATGGAAGGATGAAAGCGAAACAGGCAACTGCCTGGACCTGCCCAGTTAATTACAAAACAGTTCCCAGAGCAAGCAGCATGTCGCCGTCCCAGTCTAAGTGGATCGAGTGCCACTTCTCCCCTGTGGAGCCTGTAATGCGGTCAGTTGTCTCTCCCCACCTGGAGTCTACTCTGCTGGGGCTTTCCTGTTTGTCCCTCTGGGGCTGCACAGTTGGTTGCACTAAGTAATATAACGGCCCTGCGCTGCCTTACTGTAAAGTTTTGCTGTTTGTCTCGATTCTGTGGTGTGATTTGTAGTGTTGTTTTGCTGCAGGCACTTTGGGTTTTTGTTAAGAGTTTTAGAAATGTTTTGATTACCTTTGATGTTTGCAGGGATGTAAGGTTAGGAATGGAGCAGCTCCTATAATGCTACCACTATAATGACAGTATGGTTATACAGTGATACGTTGTGAGACTGTGTGATGCAATATCCAAACAGTCCTGAAGAAATCAAAAGTCCGGAAATATGCATCTAGGAATGAACGAACTGTGGTGTCAGTTGTGTGCGCGTCAGTTAGGTCAAAGGTCAGTGGAGGTAATGGTCATCATTAATCAATTTTAATAATGCATTTCTTTTAAATCTGATTAGCTTTTTTCCGCTGAACACTATTTTACCTCTTAAGTGTTTAATATTCTTCTCTGCAAGTTGGTTAACTTCTGTTCACCCTACACTCTTTCAGTTAATTATCACCATCACAAATCATAAAGTAGCGACTGGTTTTTGGGTTTTTTTTGCCAAATTGTTATCCGAACCATAATCTACTTTGATGATGACAATAAATTACCCCACAATTTGAAATGGAGGGGGTCTACATAGAATAGAAAACCCTTTCTCCTATTAGCGTACACATGAAGTCAACGTATCTGATTACAAAAAATCACCTGTCTAATGTAATAATTAATATTGATTCACACCTCATACATGAGTGTAAGGTAGCAGAATTATGATATGCCAGTTTCATATGAAAGTAAAACGCACGCCTGTCCAAATTGGATGCAAGTGTATTTTTAAAATGATTTGCATTGTCAGAGAGAGTCGCTATAGGAGCATGCAAATTGCAGTGAAAGTGTAGACAACCATTCACTTAGGAAGAGGTGAATGTTTTGTGTTGTGGTTCCACCAGCTAAAATTACAGCTCTGATCTTAGTAAACTGTACTTCAGTTTGCCATATGTGAGACTGGTTATTTGGTAAATGTACCCTGAAAAGCATAATTGAGCTTTCTCATAATGATGCCTCTAAATGTAATTCTGTTACCACAGAGTTTTACTGAAGATCAGTTTTCATCTGTAATGGGTTTTCTAGTGACATGTGCATAGATGCTTCAAATTGGGCATGACGGTTTCGTTTTTGTTTTTTCTCTCTGCTAAACCCAACAAGCCTATGGATATTTGGTTAGGTGTGTGTCAACAGAAACGCCTCATATGTAGACATCATGGAAATGTAGCTGAACTCATCTCGCAGACCAACAGTTTTCATGGTTCTGTTTTATACAGGGTTGGTTTTAAGGACTAAAAGGACTTCTTAAGGTAATTTAACAGTTTAAGGCCAGAACTTTATGTTTATATAAAAAAGGCCATCTTGCTCTGTCAGACTTCTACAAAGGAACTCAAAGCCGAGAACATTTGCTTGTCAGTGTTTACTCGTGCAGAAAAATGGTGGCAGTAGAGGGTGTATTGTGAAACAGTTGCACAGTCGTATCCCTCCCTGACTACATTATATTAATTGTACTGTACCTGGTTTATTTGAACAGCCCATTATGTCATAACAGTCTGTTTTAAATGGTAGGTGTGCATTGATGGGAGGGGCCGAAAGGCTTATGGTGAGGACTTGCTGAACCTGCCTGCTGTGGTTGTTATTAGTGTATGTAGCAGAATCATTGTTTTTAATGTGCTGACAGCTTAGCACTGGGGATCAAAGTGAGAGGGAAGTATCTTTGACTTTGTTTATATCTGCTGTAAGAGCTTAGCTTGTGCATTAACCACTTAATAACATAAAGTGGAGGAGCTTGCAAAATAAAAAGCCATGCCACATCTCACCTTGAAATTTACCTCCTCATTTCCCCTGTAAAGACTTGTTGTCTCTGATGCTCAGCTGAAGGCCATAACAATGACGATAATGAAATTAAATGGGTCCCTAAACCTCTTAAGACTTAAATTACAGCCATGCTTTAATGTAATCAAGTGTAGGCATGCAGCAACTGGTATAAGTGGGTAAGGCTAAGCCTCAGGTTGTGGCTCACAAGCCAGCTGTAGAGACAGGACTAACTGTGGTGGAACAATCTTGTTAAAATGAGCTGCATGATTAGAGCAGATATCTTATATTATTGACCAGAATGGGCTTCAGCTCAGCTGACAAAAGCTGTGTGAGCCGAGGTTTACAATGCAAATAGAGATTAGGGTCTTTCATCGGAGAGGGGGGGAAAAGGGCTCAGTCGAAAAATTGTAAAAAAAACAAAGGGGGAAAAGCATGTCGCTACATGTAAAATATCAATTTGTGTCTGTTGTTAAAAGGTTAGCTGAAGCATTAGTTGGCTAACCTTAACATACCTATTTTCTGTGTTTAAAAGCAACTCATGTTTTTGTATGCTACATAAAAGCTAAAGGTTTATCTGTCCAAAAGTTTATAGTTGAAGTGCAAAGACATGAAGAATTTTTTGAGTAAAGTTTTAACAGTTTTTGGACACTGTAACAAGGGCAGGGCCAGTAGGTTACTGGCAGAGGACCAGTTGGCGCTCAGGACATTTAGATTCGTGTTCGTCGCCCATGGCAGCACCAACTAAACACAGCCCCTCAGTTTAAAGCCTCTGCAGACCTCGCGCTTTGTTCACATCCACTGAACTGTGAGAGTCTGTCAGGATGTAGCTGTTGACCCACAGTCGTTTAGATGTGTCTGTGTGTGGGTTTAAGAGTGTGTTTGTCTTTACCTGCGTTCTTTTTTTCTCCCATTCTAGTAAATTGTCCAGTGTTTTTTTTTTTTTTGGTTTTTGGGTTTTTTTTAACCCATCACTGCTGGTTAAATTTCAAATGTTAACCCTGGGACTGGGTGATCAGTACAGATCTTAAGTCCAATGGAAGTTTTATAGCTTTTGAGCTACAATCTCAAAAGCACAATTTCCCTCCGTCTCTAACCTGGACTGAGGTTCTATGAACAGCATTAATCAGTTCACCTCAGAGACACAGTAATTACGTACAGATTTAAAAGTAAAAAAAAATAGGAAACCATCTGACCATGATGAGCTCTGAAAGCTATTACCTAAAACTTTAAATTGAACTTTAAAATTTATGAGGGAGCTTGTACAAACATTTTAATTTCATCTTGAAATTAAATTTATTTATTTTATTCTGCAGATGATTAAAAACCAGTTTGACAATGTGTTTATTAAAATTTTAAACGAAAAGTATCACCTACATTTCTCCCATTTGTAAGATCATAAAAGGGTATGAACTGTGATACATATAAAACTATAAATCCACAGGTCAGTGCTCTGTGTATAGGTTAGTAATTAGTAAATGCACAATAGTGGTGTTACATCTTACAAGATTTAAAGCTTTACTATTGTTTATGTGCACTGCTACCATGTTGGAATGTGAAGTTGGGGTCTGGTGGGTAATCTGAGTTGAGGAGGCATTCCAGTGGAAGATTCCAACTCAGAACTCGGGATTTCTGACTTTCAACTGAAAACGGAATACAGCAAGAACCTTTTCATATTACTTGATTTAACAAAACACAAAATGTCAGTAACACTTACAACA